CCAATTCGAGCCCTGCAATCCAAGCTTCATACTCTGCTTCATTGTTAGTTAAAGGAATTGTTCTGATAGATTTCCTTAAGGTTTCCCCCGAAGGCGTGATTAAAACTATTCCGAGCCCGGACCCTTTTACGTTCGAGGCCCCATCCGTGAATAAGGTCCAAACCCCTGATGTCGATTCCGACATCATGACTGCCTCCTTGGTTGCCAAAGGTAGCAATCCCGAACTAAAATTGGCCACGAAGTCATCCAAGACTTGTGACTTAATTACAGTCCTCAGTTTATATTCTATGTCGAATTCACTCATTTTGATGGCCCATTTGGCCAATCTGCCCGAGAGTTCGGGTTTATGAAGGATGTTCCGCAAAGGGAAAGTAGTCACCACATCTATTGGGTGGCATTGGAAATAGGTCCTCAGCTTCCGAGCGATGACTACGAGAGCTAAGGTCAGTTTTTCCAAATGTGGGTAGCGAGTTTCTGCTCCCGTTAAAATTTTGCTAACGTAATAAATAGGAAACTGCGTACCTTCATTCTCCCGAACTAAAACTGCACTTACCGCAACTTCTGAAGCCGCGAGGTAGACTAGCAATGTTTCGCCTTCTTTTCGTTTCGATAGCAATTGAGGGCTTGATAAGTACTTCTTCAGGTCCATTCAAAATTGTTCTTCTTTTATAGCAATGTAAAGAAGTGATGACACTTTTTTGACGACCGGGAAATGAACCTGCTCAAAGCTGCTAACCTTCCTGTGAGTGTTTGGACTTCCTTCACGTTTGATAATTGATCCGTGATATCGTCTATGGCCTTGATTTTGCCGGGGTTTACCTCAATTCCTCTTTGTGAGATCAGAAACCCCAGGAACTTACTGGAGCTGACCCTGAATGCGCACTGGTTAAGTTTCATGTTATTCTTCCTCAGGATATCGATTATTTCTTGCAAATTCTTAAGGTGGTCACCTGCATTCAAAGACTTAATGAGCATATCGTCTATATATACTTCCATGGTTTTTCCTATTTGCTTTTCAAATATCTTATTTACGAGCCGTTGATAAGTGGCTCCGGCGTTTTTCAACCCGAAAGGCATTACATTGCAACAATATGTATCGAAATTTGCTATAAATGAAGTCTTTTTATGATCTTCCGGGTTCATCTTAATTTGGTTGTACCTAGAATAAGCATCAAGGAAACTCATCAGTTCGTGGTCGGTCGTGGCATCAATCATTTGATCGATATTTGGCAGTGGAAACGAATATTTCGGGAACACCTTATTAAGATCTTTATAATCTACACACATACGAAATTTATTGTTCTTCTTAGGAACTACTACTACATTGGCTAGCCAGTCTGGATATCTTACATCTCTGACAGAACCGATTTTAAGCAAGCGGGTTACCTCTACTTTGACGAATTTATTCCTGGCCTCCGCAATAGGGCGCTTCTTCTGTCGTACTAGTGGTATGTTGGGATCCAGACTTAGCTTGTGCATGGCTATTTCCACCGAGATACCTGTCATATCCTCGTGCGATCATGCAAAAACAATCAGCATTAATTTTAAGGAATTCAATAAAACCCGACCTGATCTCGGGGTGCAGTCCTGTTCCCAAGTAAAATTTTCTTTCTAAGAATTCTTCGAATAATTAAACTTCCTCTAGTTCCTCTGCCGTGGATTTTGTTGCGTCCATTTCTTTCGAAACTTGGAAATATCTCGGCACCTGATATTGTTCTGATGATTCTGCCTCTAGAATAACCTCTCCTAACTCGGGAGTAGGCGCCAGTTCCTATAATTGCTATGTGGTGCGATCCTTCCCTTTGCTACTGGAAACTGAGATTGCATTCATCTCCCTTGATGCCGGTTGGTCACCTCTTATCTACTTGATTCCTTCGGGCGTTGGAAACTTCAGCTGTTGGTGATACGTGGAAGGTACAACTTTCATCTCGTGTAACCACGGCCTTCCTAAGATGATGTTGTATCCCATATCACCATCCACTACTTCGAAGAGAGTTATTTTCATTACTCCTTCAGCATTTGTGAGCAACAAGATCTCCCCCCGGGCCGTCACGCTCGCAAGGTTGAATCCAACGAGGAGTTTAGTCGCCAGAATAATGCTTCTAGTGAGTTTAGCTTGTTCCAATACTCTCCATTGTATGATATTAGCCAAACTTACTGGNAAAGATCATGTTGATCATTTGGCGTGGGGTTTCCTCTACTGCTTTCGAGGATTTCGCATTGTCTCTGTTGCGACCGTAATTTTTCTTAGCTCGATCACTCAAGAATTATCGGAGATGACCATTATTTAATAGAGTTGCCATCTCCTCCCGAAGATGTCGACAGTCCCCTGTCTGGTGACCGTTCGTCCCGGGGTATTCACACCATAAATTGGGATCCCTCTAACTGGATTCAGACCTCATAGGTCTCGGGAATCATGCTTCTTTAATGTTCCTCATGGCTGACACCAGTTCCAATACACTGACGTTGAAGTTATATTCTGATAACCTGGGGTAAGAAAGATCTCGAGACCCCGACGTTTTTTTTCCTTGAAATGATCTATTATTTCGACCACGATCAGTCCCTCCGTTAACTGTGAACTTGGTTGCTGCTCGGACATTTCTGCCATGGCCTTCGGTACGCTCATAGGGCAAAAATCGACCCCTCTCAGTCTGCCTATCCGCGTCATAGTCATCCTTTGATTTTTCTCTCGTCTTCTCCCGTCCTTTGGCCGATGATGTAAATACGACCTGGTCATCTTCGATCCTTATCTTCGACTCGTACCGATTGTGAACATCTGCCTAGGTTGTTTCTTGAAACTCAAGCAACTCTCCTTCAGCTTCCGGGAAGCGTCTAAACTTCTCGGATTCAATCCTTTGGTGAATGCTTTAGCTGACCATTCATCCGGGACGGACGAGAGCAACATTCTTTCTTTCTGGAATCGGGTAACAAACTCTCGTAATAATTCTGATTCTCCTTGTGCGATTCTGAATATGTCGGCCTTCTGGGCTTGCACCTTTCTGGCCCCGGCATGAGCTTTACTGAAAGAATCCGCGAGCATTTCAAAAGAATCTATGGAATGCTCGGGAAGTAATGAATACCACGTTAAGGCTCCCCTCGTGAGAGTTTCGCCGAATTTATTTAGCAACACCGATTCAATTTCATGAGGATCTCGACCATTTCCTTTCACCGTCGTTGTGTAGGTTGTAATATGTTCCTGCGGGTCTGAAGTTCCATCATACTTTGGAACTTCATGCATTTTGAAATGCTTCAGGATTAGTTCCAGTGCCACACTTGGCTTGTACGGTAATTGAAGACACTTCTTCGAGTTCAGGCCTTTCAATACTAGTGGTGCACCCGGAATTTGATCCATGCGGGCATTTACTTCCCTCATGAACCGTAAAAGCTCATCCTTAAATGAGTCGTTCTCGTTGTTAAGACCTGATCCCCCAGCCCCATCGGAGCCAACTTCACCTCTGGGAGTGTTGTTGTCGACTCTCTGCGTCATTTCGTCTGCGGGAACAACGGGAGGAACCGAGTCGCACTTGTTTGCATTATTCGAAGCACTTGATATCGCCTGCTTTAGTTCCGTCATAACTTGATCCCGCCGCATGAGATGGCCTAGAATGATTGCTTGTTGCTCTGGCAGGATCCTCACAACATCTGCTACTTGTTCCTCGTCAGCATCATCGGGGGTTGTTTCCCGAACCTGTCGAGGGTACCGTCCGTCATGCACCGACGTGGCGTCATTCCCCTCATTGCGGGTGTCACTGATCGAGTCCTCGAAATGAGGCTCATCCCCTCGAATTTCAGGGTTGCGTGCATCATTAACAGTGTTATCTGCCATTTTTTGCGATTTTTATTCTTAGACAAAGTAGTAAAAAAACGTTAGTAAAAAGGCAAGGATCAATTTAATTGCACGACTGTCTAGGCTCCACGGTGGGTGCCAAACTATTTATCCGAAAAATAGTACAGTTGAATTTATACGTGATTTCTAAACAAGTGAACTAATTTGATCATGAAATAATATAATAATTGGAGAAATGCACAATACTTAGCCTTAGAATGTAGATGAAATGGCAAAGATAATGATTCTGTGAATAAGGTTTCTGAACACAGTAATTATGAGAATTAAAAGCAAGAAAGTAAAATTGTACAAAACTTTGTATAGAATATAGTATATGTGTTTGCCAGAAAATTCGTATCCCTTACAATGGTAACTAAGGTCACTATTTATAGCTATGCCTAGGGAAAAAAGATCCTAGGATCAGACCCTCCTTTAATGTCAATTATGAGGGTCATTGATAAAGATGTAACGTTGAGTATAAATGCCAAATTCTCTATAACGGACCGTCACTCTTAATTCTGTAGAATATTCCTTAGTAAATGCTACCGGACGCATAGCATTTAATACACTTTTATGAACGTTATCCGTTTCGGTGACAAGTGCTGTGACTGCGTTCGGTCCTCAACCATCCCATCTTGGATTTTCACGTGTCCTTTTAGTCAGGCACGTGTCATATCATATTTTATCCTATACTTCATGCTTGCTAATTTAGTACTCCGTATTAATCTAACTGATAGCCCAATATACACATAAAACTACTAAAAAATAAAGAACAAAAAAGATTAGCAACAACTCAAACTTCACTCTGCTAGAACGTACTACAATAAGTGCAAGTCACAGTTAGAGAAGTATAGAGCTTAATTAGACCGATATATCTGCAGTTTATTGGCAATAATAGCAGAGTTGTATGGAATTGTTTGATGTTTGGGAATGAAACCAGACCTAAAGCTAGATTTACTCTGTGGCTACAACTTCAAGATAGGCTTTTAACTGTTGACAGGCTTATCTGTGTTTTACAAGACTCGTTATGAATTCAGAGACCATTTATTTGTGGAATGCCCTGTTATTAGAGTCCTGTGGGAAAGAATTCTGCTTTGGTTGAGAATACAGTCCAAAATAGAAAGAATCAGTTATCAAATGTCAATTTGATTAATTTCTGAAGTATCCAACAGAGTTCTATAAAATGTGAGATTACTCGAATTTATTTAATTCTATAGATCATCGGAAAAAGCAACATTATAGTGTGCTAGCTATAAGAAAATAATATAGGGCAACAATAGCGTCTCGGAAAGAAAGGGACATCAATGAAAATAATCTCATTGTACAACAGCCACTGAGTAACTCTTGACAAAACAGGTAAACACAACGGCTAGATCGATTTAATTCAACATATTATTCCACTCACAAATAGTCTCTTACTTGATCTTTGAGCAATCAACATTTGCACTAATCTTGAAAGGAACCTTGGCCTTACATATTCCAGGGATACTAGCAGCACGGCTAATTTGATCTCCAGTAGCGCTTGACGCCACGGTCTTCACGCATTGGCAAGCGCTCTGGCGGTCCGTGCGGGTACGTGCAGCACTGAGGAGAGATTTAAGTCCACTGCAGCACTCTGGCGGCACACTTGCGCCACCTAACACGTAGCCAAGACATGGTTCCAGGCTATCATACACTGTGTTGCACGTGACCGTTTCATCGGCAGCTGTAGCTGCTGCTGTGTTGGTGGCTGTGGCCGTGATCGAAGCCACAGACACCACGATGCAAATGAAAAGCAGAGGAAATAGTTGCTTGTTTAACATTCTGGAGATGGCCGGTAATGCCTGATTTTCTTTTCAATGTATATTTGTCTATTTATGAATGAGGACAGGTATGATTATTGATTAGTTATGATGGCCCATTTCAAGACAGCAAATATATTTAGCCTTATCTTTTTTTCTCTGCCCCACCCTCCATCCTTCTCGATCCCCACCTTGGTCCCCTGCCCCAAATGGAATCAAACTAATATCAATCAGTGTAGTTAGCTATTTATTGCAGCATCTTAGAAGCTCATTGAATAAGTGAAGTACGTTGGTGGTTGATGAAGTTGGTTTCTTACTAGATTGTTCAATTCTTCCAATTGAACCCATTCTTTCCCCCGCCTCCCTGGGACCCACCAAAAACAAAAAAACGTATAAAAAACAACAATCCCTTTTAGTGTTACAGTTTAATGATTGTAAGTTTACTTTGTGTATCGTTTACTATTCTTTCGTACTTTCTTTTCTTATCTGGTAATAAATCACAGGCGCAATTAGGAGTGTATATTTAAAAACCGATCGAACCGTATTATATCGAACCGATTTCTAGGTTTCTTTTGATAAAATCATAAGTTTTATATAAATCTATAACTGTATCGATAATTAGGGTAGGTTTTTAATTTGATGAAAATAAGGCGAAAAAATACCGAACCGTACCGTACCGAATAAATTTACATGTGAAAAATATATTTATATATTAAGTTTAAAAATAATAATACATTAAAGTTTTCCTTTGGACTTGGAATTATGAAAACGGTTATAAGTCAACAAGTAATTAAAATTCAAAATCCTAATTCCCAAACCTATTATGCTATTCCTAGTGAAACTAAATTATTTTTAGCATATTCACTAGCAAGACACAAGGTATTCTAGCGATTATGAGTAGCAAACTACAATGAATATGTTTCCTTTCGTATGATTTAAATTTATTTATTTTTGAGAATATTTAATCTTCTATAAAATTTATTCTTGAGTCTAAGTTTGGTTAATATCTTTCCACTCATGTTCTTTATATTTTTTTTATTTTTGCTTAATTTCTTTTACGCTGTTGTAGAATACTTAATGGATCTAACTCTAACTATTTTTCATGTTTTCTTAATTCATCACCCTTTGAAAAGTAAAATGTCTAGAGAGTTTTGCTAAGTCTTATAAAAGTACGCATGTTATTGCATTTTACTTTTACTAGTGACTTTTAAAAAAATCAAAAAATTAACCGAACCGTACTGATACCGATACCGAAGAGAAACAAACATGATCAAGACGATTTTGAAAAGCTTAATTTTAGTTATACATAATAGAATAACCGAAAAATTGATGTGGCATAAATTTTATAAAATAACCGACCTAACCAAACCATTGACACCCCTAGGCGCAATGAACGAAAGGCCAAACAGTTTGTCCCAACAAGACTGAAACCTAAAAAAGGGAAAAAGACATGAGTACCTATAAAAGTTAAAATATTTACCCTGCTCTACCCTTAAAAGAATTATTCCCATTAAATAATTATAATCTCCTACCTATTTAATAAACAAACAAGTAACTCAAAATAACTACCCACGCTAATGCCCTACCTACAAAACTGGAAACGTTGCTCAAATTTGGTAGAATTTCACAAATATTAGCACAAATAAATTGAGATTCCACCAACATCACAAAATCGTTGTTGAATATTTGAAGATCGTCAGCCTGATTTGAAGACCGCAAGCCTGAAAAATAAAGCGAAGATGCTGATTTGAGTTTAAAATTAGACTTTTTCTCCTTAAATTTTGGACAAGTATCAATCTGTTCGAATCATAGCGGCTGATTTGACATTCGAAGATGCTGAAACTTTTGATGCTCAAATTTGCATCGTGTTGTTCAGATTTTGATTTCGTAAATTACAGAAGTTTAGCGCTCAAACTTTTGAATTTTTATCTAAAAATTATGTTCTCGGTTTAGAGATATGGAGATCTGAATCATAACATTTGATTTGTGTTCGAAAAATCTTCTGTTGAAATTCAGTATTTGATATTAACACTGTTGAAATTTGCACTGTCGAGATTCGATTTTGAACATAAAAGTAGTTATAACTTCAGAATCTATATAATCATGGAAAATATACCAATTTTGCTGCAACATAGTGGAGAATGGGATGTAACCATAATTTCATAAACTTTTATGTTGATGCAATTCTAATAAAGACCTATTGAAAATTTGAACAACTTCTCAGAGAGATTGCAAAGCAACTGCAAAAGGACAGTAACACAATAGTTATTCAGTATGCTATTGCTCAAGGATATCCGCCAATTACAATTTGCAGCAATATGAGAGTTAGTGTTTACATGAAATTGAAAACAATCAAGTACAGGGATGACAACACTCCCACTATGTGTGTCGTTTGTTAAAAATACTATAGCTGCAAGCACCTCCAGTTTTGATGTTGCTACAATTTCATCATATTTTGCACAATTTGAAAGCAGTAATATGAGCAGCACTCTCAGGTTAATAAATCATGCCCAAAAAGGTTCGTCTGCATTTTTTGAAGTAAAAGACTATGTGATACCTATATAGTATATTGGGATGCTATATCAGTATACTATGTGAGTATAGAATTATACTGGGTTGTGTGTTTATTTTTTATCAGTTAAATATGATACCGATATAGTATATCACCATGCTATATCAGTATACTATGTGAGTATAGAATTATATTGGTTTGTGTGTGTTTTTGTTATCAGTAAAAGATGATACTAATATTATAACAACCTGATCGATCGTTTTGAGTATTATAGCCCCGTTCCCCTATTTATTACTTATTTTGTGCTCACTTGTTGTTATGTAACTTTCCGGGGTGGACGGTTTGGTTCCGGGGATGTTTCAGAATGAGTTGGAAAACTTAGTCCCAAGATTGGAAGCCTAAGTTGAAAGAGTTAACCAGATGTTGACTTATGAGTAAATGACTCCAGACTAGAGTTTTAATAGTTTCGATAGCTCCGTAAGGTGACTTTGGACTTAGGAGTGTGTACGGATATTGATTTGGAGGTCCGTAGATAATTATGGCTTGAATTGGTGAAAGTTGGAAAAATAAAGGTTTGGAGAGTTGAGAAGTTTGACCGAGAGTTGACCTTGTGGTTACAAGACTCATATTTTGCTTCCAGAAGTTGGAATAGGTCCGTTGTATCAATTATGACTTGTGTGCAAAATTTGTGCTCAATCAGAGTTGATTTGATAGGTTTCGGCATTCATTGTAAAAGTTGGAAATTCATCAGTTTCATTAGGCTTGAATTGGGGTGTGATTCATGTTTTTGATATTGTTTGATGTAATTTGAGGTCTCGACTAAGTTCGTATCGTATTTTAGGACTTGTTGGTATGCTTGGTTGAGGTCCCCGGGTGGATTTCGGATGGTTAACGGATCAAATTTGGCTTAGTTGATATGCGAAAGTGCTTCAGGTTTAGTGTCATTGCACCTGCTGAGGGATTGGCTACAGGTGTGGAGCTGCAGAACCGGCTAGGTGTGCGCATGCAGGTGCGAAAAGGGGGAAGGCTGCTGCGAAGCGCATGTGCAGAGGAATATTCGCAGAAGCGGAGCGCTCCTGCACAAAGTGTTCCGCCGAAGCGGNGCCAAGTCAGAGGTCGTTGTGGTCAAAGCCAAAGCTGATGAAATGGTGGCCCAGTACAAGGCCGATGCCAAGGCGGCTCAAGACCTTGTAAAAATTATAGTCGAGCATATGAAGTGGCAATCCTGAAGGGAGCCCTCGAGGAAGTTCACGCTCGTGGTTTTTATTTATCGGCTGAGATTGAGAATGCGAAGGTGCTTGAAGCCGAGGCCAGAAAGTTGGCCTATCCCGAAGAGGAAGATTCCGAGGACTCAAGTAGGTCCGAGGGTGGAGAAGGCCATGGGGGGGGGGGAGGTGAGCGAGGTTAGGTGTTTAGTGTGCTTCGCAGAAGCGACGTTTTCTCCGTAAAAGCGATTTGAAGGGTTCCGAGATTTTATTCATTTTTAGACTTTGGGAGCTCGGGTTAATGCGATTTGTGAGGGGGATTTCACTAGATTTCAAGAGGTAAGTTACTTTTAATCATTTTTATTCATTAATATTGAATACCCATTGAATTTCCCACCTAGTCTATATGTTTTAAGGTAGAATTTTGGACTAGGGATTTGTAAGGCCGCGTAATATTTTACTTAAACCCGAGGTTTCGTGGTACCGAGGTAGGCTAATGTTTGTGAGGACTTTGGGTTGTACAGTACGTCGGGGAGTTGAAGGAAAAGTTTTGCAGAACATGGCGTTTCTGCGGTCCACTATGCGGCTGCAGAACCTCTTCGCAGACCGCAGATCGGCCGCAGAGTGAAACAAAACTTGGGCCAATTTTGGAGGTCGTTTTGCGGTCAACTATGCGACTGCATTATCGTTTCATGGGCTGCACATCCGTCGCAGAACCAGCATGAGACAACTTCGTAGGAAGATTCTGCGCTGCACTATGCGACCGCACAACTGATCTGCGAACCGCAACATGTCATATTGGCTTTATATTAGCGCTTGGGCAGGATCCGCCCCTACGGAGTCTGACATACCAGCAGTGAGCGCAGGTACCGTACAGTGGTGAGTGACTGAGTGTGATGAGCGAGAATTGAGATAGTTAGAATGAGTACTCTGATAGTGTGAGTACGTGAGGTTTTCATTGTGTTGAATCACATGTGACATGCACATTGACATGTAGATGTAGAGATGTAATATTCCTCATATTAGTCACACTTGGCATATTTTGTCTGTATTAAGCCTAACTGTTAAACTTGAAAGCATGTCTACATTCCTATACTGTGTACCAACAAATTATGAGTTTCTCTGAGATATTATTGTCATCTTTTCCAGTTATATCTGTACTATTTAAAAATATGTATTTGGACTATATCGGTTGAGCTCGTCACTACTTTCAACCCAAGGTTAGTCTTGTTACTTATTAACTATATTGGGTCAGTTGTACTCATACTACACTCTGCACTTTATGTGCAGATCCAGGTACTTCGGGGCACGATGGTTACTAGCTTTGGAGCTTTACCTATTTAGAG